TTTAGTTAGACCTGACGAGCCTATGTAGCATTTATCGCAGGTGGCGAAGTAATTTATACCCTAGCAACTGTGACCTTCAGGTCCGATTCCCCAGGATTAAAGAAATGGTTTGAGACGCCATGTGGTAGGAACGGTTTATTCTGTACAGAGGGAGAACAGACTAGGCAGGAGGAATTCCACTGTCAGACCAGTGAGCAACCGCCTGCCGCAGCGCCATGTCTGACGTGAGGTGACCGCTGTGCCTAACATGCCCATTTCAGATCGGATTTTGCACGGCAGCCGGATCAGATCCCAAACGACTGAGAATGGCACGTCCACGCTGAAGAGAGAAGTGAACCACAAAGGAAGGATGTGGCAAACTTATCGCAGAGAGAGGACCCCCGAGTCGCATAATAAGTATAAGGCGCAGAGAAACAGGGTTAAGAGCCTGATGCGAACTTGCCGCCAAAGCTTCGAGATTAATCTAATAAACCGTGCAGTAGGAAACCCAAAGCTTTTCTGCAGCTACGTTAGACGATGCACTCGAAATAGAGACCCAATTCCTCTGTTAAAAACAGACGAGGGTGTAGAAGTTTGCGAGATTAATGGAAAGGCTGAACATCTATCCTGCTCCTTTCAGTCGGTCTTTACGAGAGAGGCCGAGTTCACCGCTGTAAACTCCAGTGTGGGTGAGACCCAGACCATAGACTCAGTTGCACTCACGGAAGCTACGGTTCTGCAAGAATTTCTACAGCTCAAAGAAACGAAGTCGTCAGGTCCAGATGAAACACCTGCAAAGCTATTAAAAGAGCTAGCCATAGAGTTAGCGGTTCCCGTGAACTTACTCTTTCGAGCTTCTCTTAATACTGTACAAGTGCCACCTGATTGGAAGGCAGCGTGGATTTCACCCATCCACAAAATTGGGAGTCGGGCGACCGCAAATAACTACAGGCCGGTCAGCCTCACCTCAGTGTCCTGCAAGCTCATGCAACGAATAGTCAAACGGGTGACGATGAATTGAATCC